GTTTGGTATTTTACTGGGGCTTTTTAATGGCCTTGTCCAAATATCTGATATGTAAAGTGGAAAAGGTATTAATTAATAAAACCGTTAAAAACCATTTAGGAAACTTAAGTTCTTTGTACTATTAAGAGTACATTTATAGTTTACGTACTGCTTAAGAGTACGTTTGTAACATAGAGTCTAATGTGGAGGCCCGGCTATTACAGTTGAAGAACCTAGTAATTACGAAGAGGACCACTCCCACGACGGTTAATCTTCCCTTACTCGCAGTGAGGGTAATGTGAAGAAGGTACGGGTATGTCTGGACATGCGAGCGGTCAACGCACTGATTCCAGGAGACCAGTTTTTGATACCGAAGGTGAATGAGATCATTTCACGACTGAAGAGCAGGAAGTACTATACCACACTCGATATATCAGCAGCATATCATAGACTACCGATACACCCGGATTCTAGATACCTATTTAGTTTCATGCACGATCGATACCAGTACTCGTTTACATCGGCACCTTTCGGGTTGCACGTATTGACGTAAGAATTCCAACGGACACTCAGTACGATACTAGATGGACTACCAGTCCACCACTACATTGACGATATTGTGATTGTTAGTGACGATTATGAAGAGCACATCGCTACAGTGAGGGAGGTGATCAGAAGATTGACGTACCACAGTTTCAAGCCGAATAAAGCAAAGTTTCACCTTGCACTTGCAGAGGTTATTATACTAGGCAAGAAGGTTTCAGCGGCAAGGATTGACGTTGACTTTGAGAAGCAGGCTGAACTCCTCGACTGGCCAACACCTTAGCAATACAGGGACATTGCCTCCGCGTTGGGGTTAGCTAAACGAGCACCTACCCAATTTCGCATACGTGGTAGCCCCTCTACGGGAGTTTTGCAAGCTGAAGCCGAATGAACTGATCGGAGATAGGTGGGAACAAAGCCATGCGGACACGTGGACAACGATGAAGGACGTGATAGTCAACACGGTCGCACTACACTTCCCGGTGAATGACGACCCCCTCAACCTCGAGACAGACGCGAGTGACTACGGATTGAGGGGCGCGCTGATCCAGTGGATAAAGGGCAAGAAACACTACCTAATGTTTTACAAGAAGACACTCAATCAGGCTCAACAGAACTATGTGACACCAATTAAAACCGCTTGATGTGGTTATGGTACGATAGAAGGGTAGAACGACTAAGGCAATGCGGACACTGTTTGGACCGTATGTGGTGAAGGCCAGGATCGGACAACGATATTAGTTAGCGAATAAAGAGGGATCCGCTCCTCCAGAATTCAATCACGAACCGGTACGGGTGGAACTCCTCCGGTTAGTGCATAGGCGCACAGACCCACCACTTAACGACGAATTATGGACAGAAGGAGGTGTTGAGTTTCGCCACATTATTACACACCGTACTAATGATGAAACAGGGAAATTGGAATACTTGGTGCGATGGCGTGAAGGCGGTCCAACGTGGGAAACATCGGCGGCTTTTGATGATGCCAACGATATCGCGGCCTACCACAAAGCCTCGCAGACACGGACACGTAAACGCCAGCGTGCCTAAATCTGTATTTTTATCTTTAGATATGCCTACTCGGTAGGACGGTGCGCTTGAACCGAAATTGTCGAGCCCTCTAGCTCCCGAGTATAAGTTAGCCACTCTAGCTCCCGAGTATAAATCAGCCACTCGAGCTCTGGAGTATAAAATAGCGATATCTACTAGACAGTTCCTTGTGCTCTGTTTGGAATCATCGAGTTAGCTGGTTTGCACGGTTTCTGCTATTGGCAGGTTTTCTCCGACACAGGTATAGCTCTATACTGTACTTACCAGAATGCGTATATGGTGTCACTACTGAACAGTTGTCTCAAATATTCAAAACGACGGGGTACTCGAGACGTACACTTCGGGTCCTCTAGCTCTTTGAGGTTAAATGCCAGCACACTGCTCTAGCTCTCAAGGATAATGCCAGCGGATCCCTCTTGTTCGTGGAGGTAAAAATTAGCGTCCCAGATTAATGATGTTACGGTAAGCTCGAATATCTGGTGCGTTGGCATGAGGGGGTGCCGACGTGGGAAACGGCCGAGGCCTTTGACAACGCTAATGACATTGTGGCATATCACAAAAATACACAGACAAGAGCTCGGAAACGCCGGAGAGACCAGTTATAGTTAAAAGAAAATTTTGTTAATAGATAAAACTTTATGTCACGTGTACTTACCGTTTAGTCACCAGCTCGAGTGGTGAAAAAATAGCCGAGCCCTCTAGCTCTTTGAGGTTAAATGCCAGCACAATGCTCTAGCTCTCTGAGGATAAATGCCAGCCCTCTAGCTCTCTGAGGTTAAATGCCAGCACAATGCTCTAGCTCTCTGAGGACAAATGCCAGCACGTAACCGCTTTCAGGGTATTCCTTCAATCTTTTAAGCTCGCACACTTGTAGTGTTTCAGCTTGGGGGGTTGTAGTCAGGAAGTCCCTGATAGGGTTTATTTAGGATTGTTTATTTGATATTTGGATTTTTGTTAGAGACTACATTCTGAACTGGGTTTATCCAATCAGGTTAAAACTGATTAACGGAAAACACATGACCAAAATGATAGTCACAGGATTTAGTTCAATAAATGAACAACGTCTCCCCTTGTACGAGGGGAGTACGTTGAGATACAGTTATCCTCGACTACATACTACACCCTACTCATTTCAGAAGGAAAGACCACATTTGGTTGTATTTATAATTTTGTTTTTGTTTTTTGTTTAAAAAAAAAAAGGCCCTGATATTTTACCAATATTTCTATATAAATACGTGATTATGAAATTACCCCTCTGATTATCTGTAGAGTGTAGAGTCCCTATTTCTTTTATTGAACTTGAAATCTGTCCGGAACTCTTTCCCCCATTTGTAGGCCCCAAAGAGGCCCCCTAGGAATCCTACATGGAACTTTGCTTCAAAAAAATAGAGCATACTTTTGTGGGTCCGTTATTAACGGCTGAAACGAAAAGTTGTTTTATTTTATAATAAAAGGCGGGGGGGGGGGGGGGGTTTCGGTTTCCAATCACAAGTTATTTACTTACCCTCTTTGAAGAAACGCTTTTGGTGTCTGCAGCGACCCAGCCGTTTTTCATTTATTTATGTATAATTGAAGGCTATGTATTTAGATATTATATATTATAAGGCCCGTTTGTGAACGGGTTGAGTCTAAGCCAAATTCAAATGATTTCATTGGCTCTATATATTAATTTAAAAAAAAATTACTTGACATTGCTCTTTTGGAGCTATTTTCTACAAATGTCACGACCTGAGGGGGTCTTTTTATGGCCAAATAGCGTGACAGACGTTTTACTTTTTGGCGACAGACAGACAAATCTTTCGGCTGGGACGCAGGGGGGACTGAAAACGTATACTTTTAAAAGAGGACATTGTTTCGAAAACCGGTTTTTTTAACAGACCTGGAAAACATCAAAACAACACGTTTCAATCCACGTATTTACTTATTCAGACGTCTATTCCCACTCATACACGTTCACATACCTATCCTTACACACATACAGATGCCTATTCACATACCCATACACACACGATATCTATTGACATACTCATACGGATGTCTTGTACCTCACATAGACATTCCTATCCACATACACATACACCTTCGCAAATACACGTGCACATGTCTATTCACATACATAATTAAAAATGTACATATCTCAATACACATATCCACATATACATGCGCATGTCTCTTCACGCGGAAATACACATAATATACCTATTGGCATACCCATACCCAACATACACCAATTCACTTACCGTCTCAGACATATGCCTATACATTCCAACACATACACAAACATACATATACTTATCCACATACCTATGTTTATGCCTATTCACACACACATGTTCTCATAAGATTGCCTCTTGGCATATCCCTACAGATACACATACTATTTACATATACCATACATATGCCCATTCAAATAGAGACTCAACAGATAACAGTGAACACTAACAATCGAACTACTATTTGGTAGTTTTTTTTTACTATTTAGAAAGTAGAAACTGTATGCAACATAGCTGCGCCCCTGGCTCCTGATTCTTGAATTCTGACTTCCGAGGAACCTCTCGCAGACGTCGTCAGAGGCTCAGTCATTCACCGCTGTCGTTCGGCGTTCACGGCACATACCACTGGGGCGCTGGGCCAGTCACTCATTCAGGCTTTCATGCACCAAAAGAGAGAAGGCAATCGTCTGAGAATGTAAAAAAATGTCTATTGTGTATGAGAATTGTAAAGAAATTTTGTTTTCGTTATTGTAGCATTTATCACAGTAGAAGGTGGATAGATATTCAATATATCAGTCCTATATGTAATATACATATAAATACTTACATTTGTGGTAACCGTAACATACGAATTGATAATTAGATTTGAGATTTCAGAATAAATACCTAAATATGAAGTAATTAACCAAGGCAATCCAAGGATTCAAGGCGACAGGCGTAGGCCGTGTAGCCTCACTATAGTAATAGTACGCTTAAAGCTGAAGAGTATGTAAAGTGCAAAATACTCACATACATTATTAGTTTACATATGTAGGCCGGGGAGCTATTTTTATTTTAGAGTAAGAGACGACAGCTTCGTTCCAAAAAAAAAGGATTTTCTAGTTTAGGTGAAATAACGTCAATTCATTGGGCATTACTAATTAAACTGCCTATGCTCAATTACTCAGACTTCAGAATCAAGAGTTGTCCAGAGTCCAGATTCTCCGGGTCTCCAATGAGACCAATATTATAAATCTGGAGTCACAACGAACGGCTCACCAAATACGCACTAAATCAGACCCTCCTCTCTCTCTACATACTATCCATTAAAAATAGTACTATTTAGTTGAGAGAGAGACAGAGAGTATGTACACAGGCCTAGTTGTGTGTTTTTTTTGCAAATACATCATAGTTCGATTTTTTATTGTAATATTTTATATGAACTATCTATAGGTACTCTAGAACATTGGTTCGTAGCATAAATTGTAACAGGATAGCAGGTATATAACAAAGCCGTGGACGTTGAATATAGGTTACAATTATAAAGCACAGATGCACGAGCTAACTGCAACATTCGGTATGACGACCAGCAATATACTGGCGAGCACATTTAGCATGAAAGGCAAGGGTACGTTGGAGTGTATAGACGAGCAGACTTTGATAGCTTTTTCTACAGACAAAGCGAGTCGGACGAAAGGTGCTCAAATTCGGCAGAATATAGGAAACACCAAACACAAGCACCCGAATACGAAGAATCGGCCATTCTTATGCCAATTCAACTGCTGCAACACATACAAAAGCGAAGATACTAGGCGTAGGCACTACAGGCGATCTCACAACCAAGAGTGGGTCCTAGCTAAGCGATCCAGACAGAATACTCTGAGGAAACAGAATAGTCTAAAGGCCGCATTCGCTGCTTCTTTACAGCATTCCGATAGTGTTCCAATTCCACAAGAACAGATGGTCAGCATCGATTCAATGAGATCGAATATCCCACTGCCAAATAACTCGACCGTTCAAACACGGGTCTACGGCAGCACTCATTCGCGCCCCTATGAACGTAGCATGTCATCCACATCTACGCATTCCACAAGCTCTACGGCGTCAAGCAATGTATACTTCTCATTCCAAGCCACGCAACACGATGGCGAGGCAACCATGAGTTCAAGGCTAAGCCAATCTAGCGGCGCCTGGGTCAAACCGATACAATTTGGTCCTCTAACTCAAAGTGCCGATATACAGCAACCGAGCGATCCGATATCGCCGTGTGGTGGAGGAGAAATGTTCGCTCAGCAGGTGAGCCAAGACTTGTTCGGTGCGATGTCCAGTGTTGTCGGCCAAGATTATTCCGCTCCGGCACTATATACACAGAACAATCCACTATCTCAGTCTTTCGACCCAAATGTGACGCACGACTTCGTACTCCATGCACCAGTTGCGCCCGTGTCAACCACCAACTCCATTGCAGAATTTGAGCATTTCCTGCGACAGCTTGAAACATACAGTCAATAGTTCGATCAATCAGAATCACTTCAATAAATTAGCGTCGCATTTTATGTCGTTGTTGTTTCCACTGAAGCTTCGTGTTCCTCCTCGGCTGTAATATCTACTGACTTGTATATCAGTGGTGAGGCCTGCATGAATGGATAGTTACCAATTAAGTTCTCAGCCCACAGACTAATATTTTCTTGCGTATACGGATATGCCATTGCTAAGCTAACCACCTCAAATGATTCATTAGCCACCTCAGTAACGTCCCCACTTTGCACACCCACACTTAGCGTATAGTAAGGGGCCTGTTGCCTGTCGAACCAATTCAGGTGCGGTCCCTCCACCAGAACACAAGTCACCACGCGATCGTCCCCATCACCTGAATACATGTCTTGTAAGATCTTGAGTCTCTGGGTGTGCACAGGCGACTCAGCACTCGTGATGAACATATGCACAGTCCGATCTGTTTCTTGTGATGGCGAGTAGTCGATTTTGAGAGGGTCCTCGGAATCGTCGTCGTTATCAATCGTCTGAAGAGAAAGTGGCGGGTTCAACGTGATCGTGGAGATTAGCGATGCAACCTCTTGAATAACTTACGTGATCTCGTCAGAGGCTTCATTAAACCACGAAGCCTGTCTGAGAGCTTGGGTATATTATACATAGATGCGTCACTATATGGCAGGATGGAATGATGCAATATAAACAAGACTGTACATACGACTGAAAAAACTATTGCTTCGGTTTAAGATTCAATTTGCACTGTGATTTAGATTAACACCACGTCATGGTTCAACCAAGTGTGCAAGGATAATAAAAGCCTACTCAAATCCATCGTGAAGCGGCATGGCTACTTCGGTTGTGCGATGGAGCAAACAATTCATATAAGTCATCATGTGCATCCGATCTGACGTATGTTCGAAATTGCTACTATACTATATTCGCACGCATCTGCTTATTCTCGGACATAAACGTAGAGCAACGAAACTCACCTTGAAATGGTCGGTAAGCACTGATCCCGGCCCGCTGACTTTCTTCAATGCCCTCTGCGTACGTTGGTATCTATCAGGAAATCGGCCCGTGCGACTTTTCTCATCAATGTCGAAGAGGGTAAACCAGTAAAAAATGTTCTGTACTTTTTTCAGGCACACACTGGATTTGCCGAAGACACCCTTTATTTAGGATACCAAATTGAAAAACAATGTTTTAATTACGTATCTAAGCCCGAGTCCGGACTTTGCATAGCCGTGTTGTGAAGCATGCGTATCTTCATGCGAGACCTGAGACTTGCTTTACGTAAACTGGTACCGGCATATTACGCAAGTGAGCACGGACTGATGTAGTGAACATCGGAAGCACCTTCGACATAAATTTGGAAGTATACGCATTTTGGCCAGGATAGATGTATGATAAAAAACATACTTAATCGCGCAGAAATATGCTGATGTCTACACAGGAAGCCAGTTATAGAGAACGTACATTGCGTGCACTATAGCTAGACGGGTATGCCTCGTCACACAGATCAAGCGAAATCCCATACTAAATGACGACACACTACAAACAGACACTAAGGAACAAATCCTGTTTGACTCACAACAGTGCACGGCTTCGTGATAAGTTGAAGCATAATCATCGTGGATATAGATTTCAAATGACACATAGTTGGGTTGTAGAATACCTCACAAATATCAAAAGTATCTAAATCAGGACGGATACCATCGTCCTCCATCCGTTGCAGGACATCTATGCCGACTTTTACCTGCAGGTTGTAATAGACGAGAAGGAGATCAATACATTGTACAAGTGATGGTAAAACGAAGGTCAAACCATCGTACAAAAATAGTCAATATTTGCAGCACATCATAAATTACAGAATCAGTGTAGTACCCATTAATTCACAATCTACAGCTGCGACGTAAACCGAGAATCTCGAAGGAGCCGCAATTGACGATAGGCATACGCATCGTTATCGCCCACAAGAAGTATGCGACTGCCATAGGCATGTATAGCAAACTTAAACTATGTATGTGTTGTTCTGGGTACTCAATGCTTGACTATTGATCAACACCCCCCGACTATGAAGGCGGGCTCCAGTGCGAGACAAACCTTAACAAAGTAAGTCTAAACAAATACTTTCTCAGGTGAAGGAAGCAGCAGTCAGAAGAGATGTCGTGTCCATTCAGAAACGCAGAAACGAGCGGGCAGTGTGGAAAGTATGTTATCATGCATAAAAGAATGAGCGAGTACAGTATATATGTTATCATGTATATAAGTCTATAGAGTCATCTCTGGTTAGGCAGTCCAGAACTTAAAAGCACAGCATACGTTGTACTGTCGTAGGTTAGTGAATATCTACGTAGGTGTCCATTTGGGTCTCATGGCAATCATTATGGTACGGGTTCTTTTGCATACACTGAATTCACATCCAGCAAGCCATCATATAACATTAAAGCAATCCAGGATATATGAAGCAATCCAGGATATATGCACATGTAGACAATCGTTTACATACTACAACCAAGGCAATTTATATCCCGTACATGGTTTTGAGCATGAAATCGTCCGTATGATACAACTACAAGGACAGTCACTGGCTTACGAACACAATAACCTCGACCCACATTATCAGCTCAAGGTCACAGGTGACGGGGATGTAGTGCTCGCTCACTACAGCCAGTGCGCGATCATACCTCGGGTGTGTACTTAGGCATAATAACGTCAAACAGCGTACGCGTGATCCATCTCCGCCGCGGGAAAACATCCAGCAGACCATTAAATGTGGCGCGGTTTGGCTTGATACCCGTTTCGTCCATGGTGGCCAGGCAGTTCTTGATGAAGTCCACACTGCCTTTACTGTACAGTTAAAGATATGAAATGGGACATGGGGATGAATTTTTCGATCGCCGCTCGGAGGTGGTCTCCAAACGTGCATACAGGCAACTACAAACACACACCCTCAAGAATGTCCATGGGCATGCAGATGCATGGCTGGTAATTGCATTTGTCGCAACTCCATAGTCGGTCTGAATATCAGTTTGAGTAGTGTGCTCGCTCGCAAACCTGCTCGTAAGTTGTGGGACACGGATGGGACTACACAGGACTTTTGTAGCGAAAAGCAAGGGCCACAGAGCACTGATAATATTGCACTGACTACACGCCTGTACACAAGCGTTTATGCTTACTTGGATTAGCTGCCCATGCAACTAAAGGTCGCAAACGGACGTGAAGGGAACTCGCAGAACACTTTGTAACAACCTATGGGTAAGTGTGCGAGAATCACACACGAGCACACACATACATTATCCTTTAGGCGCACATATGCACAACCGCAGACTAAAAGTGTGCCCTACTTGGGAAATACAAACACAGGAACAATAGGGATGTGTCATGTGACCACTTGCACACACACAACCACACAGGCACACAGACACTTACTAATAACGTCATTTGTGCTCGCACACAACATATAGACACATAACCACGGCGTCTATTGCAAATACATATGCCATGTCACGGATATACGCGGGCAAGTACACGATTACCAGGTCGATATATTCAAGTGACTACAGGCAATGTCCCCTCTGCATGATCCTGAAGTGTGCCTTCAGACACCCACTTGTGCATGAAATTTTACAGCTCATTAACAGTGGAGCACGTGCATACCTGAACTTCCCCGGCCGCCTCCCATACGCTGCGATGGCTTCGTTGTACGCCTCAAGCGATGGCCGCAACCTCACTTCCTCCAACAACTTTGTATAGTCCTGTACCACAACCGCACCATCCTTCTCTGGTTTTTCATCAGATGCTAACCCATCAGACGGTGTTCCCTCACCCGTCATATTATCGGTTGATGTTTTATCTGAGCTTGTTCTGTCAGCCGCGTAGCTTCTGCGCGGGTGTATACAGACTGTGAATCTCGAGAGGGGATACGCATGTGACGGTACAGAACTGTGACATAATGCGCTATTCATCTGCTTGGTGTACGCACGTGGTTTGTGCATATGTGTAAACACGGGCTTCGCACTATTAGATAGTCTTCTCCTTTTGCATGTTACTTGGCCTCGTACACTTTGCAAGCTTTGCATACTCTGCACGCGAGGAGCATCGATCGTACTCAAGCTTAAAGGGGTTCTTATACTTACATTGCGCAATGATGCAAGCACTCGTGTGTGCATGCAGCAGCTCATTACGAATAGATTATGCGGCGGTAGCGTTTTCAGTATATAAATTTTAATCTCTAATACCTATTCCTAATGTCTAGGCGAGATGTGACCTATTAGACGCTTAATTTACTATAGCAATTTAGAATATAAGTAGTGCTTAAACATTCATACACGAGTGGGCTTATACTTAGACAGTCCGCAGACTATATTTCTATGTCGTTAGTTCTTATATGTAGTTATAGGTGGCACTATATCCCTAGTAGATCTGTAGTATGTAGTAGATGGTACTATTTAAATGTATGAACCGTTGCTCGAGGCGCTCCTCTATTCAACTTCTGTTTTATACAATATTGAGCTTCGCCAGAGAGAGAGAGAAAATAAATACAGCTCATACCGTCACACGGCCGCGCCGCCATAAAAGCAATGACGTAATACTATCGTTCCCGTCACCATATTTATCTTCAAATTTTATTTATTTACTTCTCGTTTGTGTACATGAATATGAATGTATTGTATACATATTTACCTGTATGTATGTATATGTGGCGAATGTTCCAAAGGGGTGTTGTAGTGTACGACCTACTTCGTACGCTGATGATCAATGAATATGTATATATTTTTTAGATTATATGGACATTGAAAAGTATCTGTAAAAGGACTTTGAAAGATGTAATAGACTAAAAACGAGTCGAATCCGCCACAGTCAACCCCCTTGATGTTGTCGTATACACGTTGTAGCACATGCTTGTACATAACCAAACCACTGCGAAGCGAATTAAGGTCACCATGAGTAAAGATAAAGATAACAGCATCTCTAAAGATAAGGACAAGCATATTGTCGAGGAGTTCTTCTATTTGTCGGAACGCTGCAATGAACAGTTCAACCGTCTCGAGTATGTGTTCGGGACTGTGTGTTGGGTATTGCATAGTGCACTTCAATGTTTGTATGAACTATCTGATGTGCCGGCTCAGTCATCCCAAGTGTGTAGTTTTGTGTGTGTGCTGACTATTGTATTGTATATGTGGGTATCGGTTCGAGCCTAAAAAACCATACAGAAAGCCATCTCAAGTATGTGTTTTTATTTGTGTGTGGAGTGTTGTCTGTTGTGTGCGGACATCTGCCTGGATAGTCCCTCGTACGATTCAGCCTCCTCGAGTATGTATGTATGTGTGGGTTGAGTGCCCTATTTAGTAGACCCTTGACTATTGTATTTTGTATGGAAAGGTCTGTGTGAACGATCCATTTGAACGATCCAGCTTCTATACCAGCAACTTCGAGTATGCGTGTGTTAGAGCATTGTTTGATTTATGTGAATACATGCCTGCACGATTCGATGTACAGTTCCGCCAGCCCGAGTATGTGTGTAGGGGATATCAAATGTTGTATTAAATGAACATTGTGAGTTCTTGAATGGTGTTGATCTATGTCTATTTGCCTTTTCCTAATTGTATCGGAAGATTGTTGGTATTGGCGCTCGTTCTCCATGCCATCTCTAGTAGCATACGATATACGTACATATATTCAAGGTAACTAGAGTATACGTGGTACGGTACGGATATACAGGACAGAAAATTCAAAGAATAGTCTTGCGTCTTTATCTGTTGGCGTCTACGAGCAGATTCAGCTGAAACAGAATCACGCATACGTCGATTTCATAACATTGCAAGGCAGCACTGCATTCTCTTACCGTGCATATAAATGTGTCCGTGGAGGTACATGGCACTGTAGTATGTCCCGAGACACTTTGTTATGTACAACATATTAAAAAAAATATTATTTATCAGCATTCAGAGAGAGAGAGAGAGAGGTATTACTTCTATACTCGGCGTGATAACATGAACAACATCACACGAATGGTGTAAAACGAATCATATCACTGGGTGATGCACCCATCTACGATTGGTATAGGTTTATACAATGAGCTTTACAACCTGCAACATTTATACAAAACGACAGGAACATACGACATCACATTGCGCGATTAGCTATGCATATCCTTGCATCATTGCAGAAGATGTGTTGCTGACGATGAATTCGTTGCACAACACTAACAGGGCTGTTCCCAGATACAATCGGGAGAAATGGCAGCCGTACTTTCATCGCACGTTCTATCTGTACCAGAAGCTATGGATAATGCAGCAGAAATCAAGGTGAGGTCGTACGATGGTATCTGTTAAGTAGAGAGCAGCAACATACATAGACTGACGTGCGCTATACTATATATATATATATATATATATATATATATATATGATATACATAATATATATTATTATGTACACACACACA